AGCAGCAGGCCCTGCTCAGCCCCCTACTCCATGGGGAATTAACCGTCACATTCCAGCCCTGTCATCAGAACAATGAAAGGTGAATGTTGTGCAAAACAGCTTGGGACCACTAACTGATGATGTCATTCCTCCCTTATATGGTTCATTATTGTGCAGATTTACTTTGGTCTGTGAGAAGGGGTGGAGCTGCCCTGGACTGGAAGGGAAAGGCAGCGATTAAGAAGCCGGCAAGTGAACGGGAATTATGTTCCACACAGGAAAATGCACTGGGGAGAGGGGTGAAGTTGGGGAGGAAGAAGGAGATAAAGAAAAGATATGCATAAAATGTCAAATGGGCCTCACTCCTGATTTTTCAAACTAGCTAAACTCTTGTCCAGTTCTATTCAGCACACACTGCAATTTAAATAGGGATCCCACTAGAGCCTCATTGGATTCAGCCACAGGGCAGAATTCATGTTTCCACTAACTTGCCTGTGCATTTGTGTGTATCTAAATGAAAACACTACAGTGTGGACCATAAAATGCCAAACACCTTAGTTTAAAGATCATTTAAAAATGGTTTTGCCTGAATTTTTTCCCCTAAAAGTGACTTTTAAGTGGGGGGGAAAAAAAAAACCGATACTCTCCATACAAACAAAATGGGTGAATATGTTCAGCCAAATTTCAGTAAGTATCCATGTCATCATTCCTGCAGGATGTTTTCAAAATCTTTTAGCACCTTTAGTTTTCTCTCTTCTTCTTTTTCTCCTTCCACCCTTTATTTTCTTCCTTACCTCCTGAGTGATAAATTAAGTCCAAAAGCCATTAGGTAAATTAAAAGATCCATCATAATTATTCCTAGCCCATATAGACAGAATATGTATAATACATACATTATGAAATTCCACTTTCATTACAAAGTTAAAATATTAGTCTAGATAACTTTAGTCTAGATAACTTTAAAGCTAATAAAATTGTGTACAGTGCATTTTTAAGCCCTCAAATATCTTTTATATTACATAAATAGAAGCTGCTGGGTTATGGCATAGAAAAGAACATGAAGAAAAAATAAGTTTGAGATCAAAATCATTGTTTTCCCTATATTCCTTCACTCATTTTCCCTTTTGTTCAATCATGCCATCATCCCCAAGGTTTTTTTTTTTTTTTTTTTTTTTTTCCTTTTTTTCTTCTTGAGATAGTGGCACACTAAATTGCCCAGGCTAGCCTCCAACATCAGATCCTCCTGTCTTACACTCCCTGAGTGGCTGGAATTACAGGTGTATATCACTGCAACTGGCTTCTGACTTCTTAATAGCATAAACTGAGTATTTCAAGATTGTAGTACTGAATAAATGTATTTTGATTATAGTCATTTTGACAAAAGGTTACATACAGCAATTTTCATGGATAAGGTAAAATTACTGATACTAATCAGTTCATTGTTTTTATTTAACATGGATGGGAAGACTGATATTGAACACAAAAGAAGAATCTCCACCATGGCCTGATGTATGCAAAGCTGGGGTGTTGGGATAGGGTGGGATCTTGGTCATTGATGGCTAAATCTGGGTGTGGCAACTCCTTAGTAGATAACTGGGGGTATCTTTTAGAACTCTTCTGGCTTCAGTTTACTCAACTGCATAAAATGGATATGATTTTAACTTGCAGACTTGTTATGAGAATTAAATAAATTAAGTAAAGGCCACAGAGTCAGACACAAAGTGGATCCACAACAAATAATAATATTTTTATTCACAGTTTGTTAATTTTGGTGATAGCATTTTGCAAAATTACAAATTAATGTTCTAATTTTGACATAGACAATATAAATCCTTATGATAAAGAAGAAATTAAGGGGTTAGGATTGATTACAATGCAAATGAAGTCTTGCATTCAGTTTGCTTCTGATGATTCAAACTTGAGTTATGGTCCCAGGGAGGCATTGATTATGTTCAAAAACCATATAAAATCAATACTTAGAGATAAATGATAATAGCAAGAGGAAATGTTTTATTACCTTTGAAAAATCTTTTTTAAAAATACCATGAATGTCAATCAGACTTGTTTTTCCTCCCTGTTTAATACCACTAAACAGCTACATTTGAGATTAATTTAAACCCCCATTAAAGCTCACTTAAAATGGTTATATTTATCATAATGAATTAACATTCTCTAGTTAACTGACATAATTAGGAGCCTATTGGAAACTAGAAGAAATATTTAAATGGTAAAAAATATGTTTCATTCATTCATTCAACAAATTTTTAACTGGTTGTCCACTGAGAACCAGGGACATTCTTGGGCACTGGGGATATGGAGTAAATAAGATAGACAAGGTTCCTGTGCTGATGGTGATAAGCACCCTAGAGAAAGAGGCAGTGTTGTTCAAAGGGAATGACTATGGGCAGGGGGCTTGCTCTATAGAGACTTTCCTCTAAGCAGTGAAAAGTGAGGCTACAGGGTCAGAATGAACAAGCCATGCCAAGAATAGAGGCCAGAGACTCCAGAAAGGCTGCTCCAGGAACATTGCTCCAGGTCCAGGCCTCGATTTATTTAGCCCCAAAACTTAGAAGATTCCATCCCCCAATCTAATCAGAAACATACCCACTACAGTGATCCTCTCTTATTTGCAGGTTCGCTTTCTATGGTTTAAGTTACCAGTGATCAGCTACAGTCCAAAAATATTAAATAGAAAATTAGAAAAATCTATATATTTTAAATAACATTGTTAGAGTGTATCATTATAATTGTTCTATTTATTTTAGTTATTGTTATTAATATCTTACTGTGCCTAATTTATAAATAAAACTTTATCAAAGGTATGTGTGTATACATAGGGTTCTGTGCTGTGTGTGGCTTTATGCATCCACTGGGGATTTTTGGAACCAATCACCTATGGATAAAAACTATATATTGCTGTGTCACTGAACTTTCATGCAAGGAATTTGTGGTTGTTTCTATGAGACAAAGAACAAGCATAAATGTACTACTTGCTAAAAACTGTATGGGTGGCAGAATTTAGTTAGAGATTTGTTTTCATTGGGACATATTATTTGTTATGAGTTGCTAATATTTTCAATAGGATCTAACAACTGGAACCAGAAAAGTTGCCTTGGCCTGATTTACCACACAATGGTAAGGAATTGGATTTTATCCTGACAGTTCTGATTTATGAGTAATATGTAGAGAATGTACTTGGGAACAGGGAGGACAAGAGTGGAAATAAGCTGTCTAAAACAAGCTATTGTAGTGCCCAGCCAAGCAATGTGAGAGGAACTTAGATAAGACTTTACCTTGGACTAGGACAGTGACAATGTTTTGGAAGAAAACTGGATAAAGTACAAATTTTAATTTGGAAATGGAATCAATACAACTCATTGGTGGTTATATTTGTAAAGTGAAGAATGAAAGAACAACTAAGGATTATGAGGATTTTAATTTGAGTAACTAGGTGAAAGTACTTTTAACAAAAATAGCCATATTGGGAGAAATAGATTTAGAGGAAGTAACCAAAAGTTCAATTTTGGATATATTAAGTTTGAGAAGCCTATTAAAAATCCAAATGGGCTGGTCTAGTATGGACATTTACTCCATTATAATTTACTTAGTGAGTTAAATAAAATTTTTCTTGTGAGGAGAATTAGTAAATTTTTTTCCTATGAATTATATACAACCAATAGAGCCTCCCCCTTCTTAAGCTTTTTAGTATATATTAACTGAAATGTATTGATGTTATATAATGCATGTGGTTAGTGTTATTGTAATTATGGGGTCCCCAGCTAAATCCTATGACCACTGTGGGCCAAGATCTTCTAAGAACAATCATAACTTTAGAGCACAGGATCTTAGAAATAGTATCCATCTAGTTGCCATTGAGCATCATGACCTGACCAAGTGACTTAAAACCAAGTGTTCTTAGAATTGTTCCTTATTGGAACAATAATAATTGGTGGGGTAGAAGAAGGAGGAGAAGGAGGAGGAAGAAGAAGAGGAGGAGGAAGAAGAGGAAGAGGAGGAGATTCTTAGAATATGGCAAGCAGGAAATATCAGTGTGTGGTCGTCACTGGGCTTGCCAATTCATTGTGCTTTCATCTCAGGAGACACTTTGTGCAGCAGAGGAAGTTGTTCTCCAGAAGTCTGAGGAGTGGATGAACAGGGTGGGTGTTAGTGGAGGGAATAGAGTGAGCAGGCAGGAAGATCATCAAAGGACAGACTACAAGTGTTGCACTTGAGTTCCTTAGTTGGGATGGGTGTGTCCTTCAGGATCTCTCCCTGGAGGCCTGGGATAGTAAATAAATCTGAGCAGTAGTTCTGCACACAATTATGCCTCCTTCCTTGGGAGAAATAGCATCCAAATCTTCTAGTATGTTACAGATCTAGGAGAGGTCAGATAAATCTGAGAGCATTAGAAAGCTAAACAAACAGAAAGAATTGGAAGAGGGGATGGTGAGTGTAGATACTGGGATGAAATTAGAACATTTTACAGATTAGAATATAAGATTTGGTGACATTGTGATGAATGATAAAAATTAAGCAGACTGGAGTATTCCTCCCTTCTAAATAGCACATGGGTTATGCAGCAGCCATAGTCCAGCCTTTCTAGTTTTCTTTATACTTCAGGTCATATATATGTGCTTTCTTAGGCATTTGAGAATAAATACATAAAATAACTCTCAATGAATTCTTATAGGATATTAGGAACTATGTAGAAAATAAAAAGAAAATCCTTAAGGTACAGCATTTCTGAACTCAGTAAGAATGAGTGAAGATTAAATAAATTTGCAGCTGAAGCTCACATTCAGCCCCTGAATATTATTTGAGTAGTTTCTTGGCTAAGAGTTCACATCCAAGAGCTGAATATGTTATGCATTGAGCATGAAAGACCCAACCTTTGATTAATCTTTTCTGTTCAAACTTTTCACCACATGAAGTACTTTCCAAACACAAGCATTCTTGGAAAAAGAGTGCACATATGGTCAAGAAGCCAGAGAGGAGCAACCTCCAAACATTGAAAACACCACCTTCCCAAGGTCCAGCTCCGTCTCTGGAGTCCAGGATTTGTAATGCTAATCTGAATACCTTCTTCTACCCTGGAAAAAAAGTAAAAATATAAAAGTAATGTACTTGTTCACTCTGGTGTTAAGAGACAACACATTTTCCCAGCACTTTCCTTCCTTAACTCTTTCTTGGTGTATGGATTTGTGCAAAAATGTTTATCTGGGATTGAATCCAGAGTTAAATACAGGTAATTAGTAAAGAATAGGTATATTGGATCAGATTGAGAAAATGGAGGCCGATTTGAGTCTGGGAAGTTGGAAACTGCCCCTGGGAGATTAGAGCCCTTTGACACTACTCCTCCCCCCAAAAACGGTTGTTAATGAAGCAACTCCTGAGCAGTGTTGCCAATCAACACCCCAGGGCAGCCACTCCCATCCCAGCTAGCATTCCACCTAGGCCCTTCCAGCCTACCTACTCACCCCCTGGCCATACCAAAGACATCCCCTAATCACTATGCAGGATGAAGGGAAACTTTAGATGTATAAAAGGGACAGGACTTCCTCATCCCATGGATTCTGCCTTTGAGTGCCCTTCTTCCACCCAGGAGATGTCTGTTTTACTATCCTTTAATAAAGCTTCTCACTTTCTACTCTACAATTGCCTTGGCATGCTTCTCTGGTGTTATACTTCAACATTTGAGGAAGCAGGTCACCGGCAGTATCAGTATTTATGTGGTGACAAATAGTTGCCAATTTAGAATAGCATTCCCAAAGTTTTTCATTTTGGAGAATAATCTCATATCACCTTTTAATATTTGATTTTGTCTACAATGTTGAAACATGCTATTAATTCAATTAAAAACTCAATCCAATTAGATTAGAATTTGGGGAACAAAACCTCCCACTCAGTTGCTGAAAATTTCCATCTTTAAATCAGTTGCTTTTGCAACTTGGATTCATTGTTCTCTCTGGAATTTATATACCTTTGATAATGCTTCAGTTCGTTAAAAAAACAAAATCTATTGGAAACTTTGGGTTTGCATTTTTTGACATAAAGAAAATCTGTTCAGAATTGTTCAATTGCCAGGCATTATAGTTGTCTGAAGTACAGTGATCCTATAGAAGTATGGATAGATCAGAAAACATTGAAAAAGAAAATCTATCACTACAAAGTCCTGTTTATTCACTGCCTTTGTGTTTGTCACATGGCTAGACTCTGAGGCTATAATTACTGACTGAAAATGTGTTTGTTAATGTACCATTCTAGCTGGATTGTTTCCTATTTCCTGATAATTTTCATTGTGTGTTTCTTAAAACTTGTCATCTGGGCTGGGGCTGTAGCTCATTGGTAGAGTGCCCACCTTGCACGTGTGGGTTCTATCCTCAGCACCACATAAAAATAAATAAAGATATTGTGTCCAACTACAATTTAAAAAAAAATAAATAACAAAACAAAAAAACTGTCATCTGCTTAAGTTCTTTAGGGCTGATTAATAGTGAAAAATAGGCCTGAGCTTAGATTTGCATATATTTACAGTATCACATGATAGTCTAATTTTTTACCCAAAAATTATAAGGTAAATCCATAATAGATTTTTCTAAATGTGTGAATTTATATCTGGATTTCATTCACTAAATAGTATGCAGAACTTCTGTGAAAAATACATGCAGTTAAATCCCTCAATTTGTAAGAGCTCTTCAGAAGAAGTTTTTTTTTTTTTCTTTTCTTTTCTTCTGCTTTTAAAGCAGTTTGTTTTTTCTACAGCTGTTGGGAAGAGAAAGTTATTCTCCATGTTATTCTAATAAGCCAGTCCAAACTGTGATTAATACATATTCTTTTAAAGATACAAAGTGTCTCCTGTCACTTCTTTTTAATTTATTAAATTTTTAATATAGGAAGTTATAGAAATAAAGCAGTAAATTTATGACCTCGGCAAAATTACTGTAGGAGTTTTTCTTCCAAAGGATGCTTATAGTTACTACATATTTTACTTCTCATAAAATTTTATGTGGCTAAAAATCTCAGTATTGCTTTTTTGTAGAAAGTAAGTCATCATTTTTTAGCTACATATTTAAAAATTATGTTTTACTTCTCAAATATAATTTTTTATTACATAGGATTAAGCTATCCTTTGGAAACTTAAAAAGTAAATGTTTTATTTTCCCCTGACATAAACCAAAACTGTTAGAGGATGGTTCTTCTGAAATGGTAGAAACCAGATCAGGCCAGAGGAAAATGATCCTAAGTAAAATATGGTCAGTTATTCCCCATGTTTATAAATAAATTATCTCAGTACACATAAAAATGACTATAATAATGGCCATTACTAAGGGATCCAACTTTTCCAATTGACTTGGAATTCCATCTTCAAAATATATTAAATTTCTATATGTACTATAATCTATCTCTAGGAATTCTATCAGCTCCATTGATCTATTTATGTACCAGTAACATTTCAAAACATTAGCCTTAAAATAAATTTTTCTTTCATGTAGAAAACGTTTCTACTGTTTTTTTCCCCAAAATTTTAACTATTTTGTGGGGGTGGTCTTCATACTAGGAATTGAACTCAGGTGTACTAGAACATTGAGCCACATCCCCAACCCTATTTTGTATTTTATTTAGACATAGGGTCTCACTGAGTTGCTTAGCACCTCACTTTTGCTGAGGCAGACTTTGAACTGGCAATCCTCCTTCCTCAGCCTCCAGAGCTGGGATTACAGGCATGCATCACAGCACCCTGCTGACTATTCTTAGTTGTGTGATTTTTATATGATCTTTAGAACCACTGCATTTAGTTCCCATAATTAAAAAAGAATTTTTAGGACCACATTAAATTTGGCATCTTTATTAGAATTACATTAAATTTACAAATATAGGGAGACTTGACATCTTTATAATGTTAAGTCCTAGCATGTAGTAAGTTTCCATGGCTCTAAGTCTTTTTCATGTCTCTAGATAAAATTCAAGATGTTTCTTTATGTAGATCTTTCACATTCTTAAGTTTATTACTAGATAATTCATTTCTAATTTAGTATAATTTTATCATGTGGAAATATAAAAACTTGATTTTTGAATATTGATTTTATGTAGATTTTTAACTTGCCACCTTACTTTATTGACCTCTCTAAATGTTTCAGTTTTATTGAGTCTACCCACAATTAAATTTAAAAAACACTTGCTCCCAAACAGAGCTTACTTTTCCTATATTTTGCATTGTTTTCAAAATGTCTGAGTTGTGATTTAGTGAAATTTAATATAGTTGTTCTCCAAGTGCTTATTACACAAGTGGGCAGAAGGAATCACTGTTGGGCATCATATGCTATGCCTTGTGGAAGGGACTTTTTTATATTCATTATATCATGAACATAACTCATGATATAGGTGCTCAGTTATTCCCATTCAACAGAAGAAAAAAACAACAAAACAAGAATCAGAGAGGTCAGATAACTTATTTGAGGTCACAGATCAGTAAGTAGCAGGTCAGGATTTGAATTCACAGCTATTTAGTTCCAAATGAAATGCAGAAGACTAAGGAAATGACTATCTCTAGGTTATAGATTTTGAGTAACCTGGCATCATGTAGCTAGAATACCCCAGGGAAGGAGGTGACTGAAGTTCAGGAGATACTGGTAAGCATCATCAGTACTCTAAAACCAGCCACAATGCCACATAATTTCTCCTCAGCTCAAATATGGATTATGTTACTAATGAAGGGAATACTAATTGCAGGCCTTAAACTCTTTTGTGAAATAAAATTATTTAAAATTTTTTGTATTTCTTATACATAATTTCTATTATGGGGTCCCATTCAATCAGAGGATAGAAACTTTACCTTAGTTCTGGGTAAGCTCACTCAAGACAGGTTTCCTTATTAAATGTGGAGACTCTTCTGGCAAGTCATGGTCTTCTGAGTAATTCTAGGGCTTCAATAATTTCTGGAATCATTTGGAAGGTGGGTGGGAGATGATGTTATAATCGTCTGTCCCTATTGACATCCTCTTGGGATGCACACTGTGGTCTCTGCTCTCATTTGTCAATTTGTTCAGGTTATAGATTCAAGCTGGCCTCAGAGACCCAGATGATCCTGGTACCCTGATTTCAGATTTCTAGCTTTCAAAACTATGAGAAAATAAATACCTGTTGTTTACGTCACACAACTATAGGATAGTATTTGTTATGGCAGTTCAGCACACTAAGACACTCTTGGGCTCCACCTAATAATCCCTTTTGTCTCAAATTTTCCACACCAAATCTCTCTGAAATTTGTATTAATCTTTGCCTCATTCCACCCTCCAAAACTCAGAACAAAATCTTTTGTTTTTGTTCGTTTGTTTTCTTGGTGCTGGGGATTGAAGCCAGAGCCTGAAATACATGCCCAGCCCAAAGCCTTCTTTTGAAATACCCACTCCCATGACATAGTTATCCTTGTTTCCTTGATTTTTTTTCCTCTCAGGGAAGAATCTTATCGAAATGGGAATAAAGAGGAGTAAAAAACAAAACTTGGATACACTTGATTACATATTCCTTCTAATGCTATTCCTAGTTCCTTKCTTCTGAAATACAAAAGACAAGATCTTGACTTCTCTTTTTTCCAACTCTTTCCCTTGAGGAAGTGGTTACTCTCTTGATTGACTGCTCAAAAGGGGACAAGTAACAGAAACTATTAGGTTAAAAGACCCAATTAATATCACTGTACAGCAAATTTTTATAACTGAAAATAGGTAAATAATAATGTCAAAGCTATAGCAATTATTATAATTGTATCACTTAGTCTCTGAGGCTGTAAGGAATATAGTCACCTAGGTTGCCTAAGATGAGAGTTCTTAGAAAGAATATACCTATAAGTAAATTAATATGGAAAATTGCCTCTATTGCCAAACAGGCCCAGGGAGAACTATGATACTATTTATTATTATTTATCATATACCTAAAATACCAGTAACTCAACAACAATGCTAGTAATCAAATGCTTGTCATCTTCTCAGAAATTGGATGTCCACTGTAATCCTAGTCCTGGAGTAACTATTATTGACACTTTGAGTTTTTATGTTTTGG